GACCTAATTCAGGCTAGCTGCATGTGGCGAATAGCAGTTGACTTGTCAAATATCCACTAGTTGTCAATGGTTGTCAAACGGCTATGGGCCTCTCACGCCTTTTGATTTACGGCAAACTGCCGTTCCTCTTTCTAGAAAATTGACCAAACAGATTAAATATTCAAAATAATAAGCAAATGGAACTAAACAACTGAGGCACGAAACCGATGAGTTTTTCTTGGTCCCGTAGTTTCGGTCGTGGCATACCATCACCACGAATCTTGTACAGTCGAAACTTACAAAGCTCATGAAACAAACCAGAATGAAAATACAGCGGTTGTTCCACTAGCTGAACTTCTTGGCTGGTGTTTTGCTACTTCTAGGATGGGCAGTGAGTTGCTTGAAAGTGTAGGTATGTCATTTTTGACCTCTAGTTTATTGTACTCCCTCATTTTAACATATAATGGATTTCGAAAATCTGATTCCCATGAGCAGTTTCTCAAAAATCTGCCTTCAGGGGCCCATTTTTAGACTTGCGGACCCAGTCACACCATCGGAGTCACCTTGGGCTGCATCCGTAGCTCTCTCGTCTGAACAATGTTCCTGCCACAGTAACTTTGGTGAGTCCACACAAAAGAGAGGATTCGCTGAACTCGAGTTTCCCTCCTAATAGAGCTCATCACCAGGGAGGGAGTACAGGGAGTCGAATGCAGGACGTCGGACATGCTAAGTAGGCGTGTTGTCACCATTCTGAAGACGCAAGCTGGACGCACCTGAAACATCATATCTGCGTAGGTAATCGTGTCCACGCCTGAGTGACTTGGTTGGTTTGTCTAACCGATCGAAGGACGACCCGGTGACTGCCCCGTTTGTGCTGATCGACCGAAAACCTGTCAAGACATCCCAGTGGGGTGGTACTTGAAACCTGCCGGACTATTTTCTAGCAATTATCTACAGTATATAGGATTGGTTGTTTGTAGGGCGGACCGCGCGCCACTCAGTAATCATCCTAGGTAACGTTCAGCCAACGTTACAGTCACGTTGTCCAATAAAGCAAATGACGCGTGTCCACCACCAAGAAGCAGTGGGCAAGCTCTGGCAGCCAGGATCACACTCCTGCCTGAATTTGACCGACGGCTTTAGGCTGACAATGACGACGATGCTCCAATCAATTCACAAGCCATTGGCTCCTGATAAGACATACGCTAGCAATTCCTTAACTTCTGGAGTGATAAAAACATTATCGCAAATTCGGGTGTATCGTCTGTAACACTCTGAGACCATGTACACCGGACGGACTTGACAGTATGTAATTTGGCCACTCTCCAAGGAAACCAAATGTGCAGCACATTCAGTTATCTGGAAACATCACAAGCGAGAGATTCCAGGTGAGTCTCCTCCTCAAAATCAAATGAGTGTAGTTCGATAATTTCGTGCAATTTATTTTCAGGTAGAACACAAGATTGACGGAAACTCGGGGACTACACCTACCTGGTGAGCCCCAAGAAGGGCGAAACCGGTCGTGGGCTGCCAAAGAATTTTCAGCAACCTTATGAGTAGTGCATTATCAATATTCAAGTAAAGCGATATCTCGGATGTCGTAACAACTGAAACATGAGGGGGCCTGGTGCAACACACTCAGCTGCTTGAAAACATCACAAACGATAGATTCAGATGGATTCCTAGTGAGTCTGTCGCAAAACAAAATTTGTTTGCAAGTGAGTATACTTCGCCAAAGTTAAAATGAATCGGTGGAGATCAGGATGTCTGGCGTTCGAGAAGTCACTGAAATCGTACGTTTTTCATGATTTATCCACTGGCGTTAGGATGGAACATCCAAGCTTTCGTAGAACATACGAAAAAAAGTTCGTTTCTAACCTCAACCATACGATGGGGCTCCCTTTCCTTAGTCCGTCAGCGCCATCGGAGAGCCTTACTTGGCTATTTCCAAGGCTTGTTCGAGGAGTCCCACGTATCGGAAGGAGCTGCGAACAATCAGTGCCTGTTGGACAATGTGTTTTTCTGGTTGGTGACTCGTGGTTTTTTCTCACATGTCTACACTAAATTCAGACGAGTTCTGGCTTCACGTAGGTTGGTTATGTTAAAGCATGGATGACGGTTAATTTTGAGCGGAAGAACACGATTCTCAATCTATTTAGGTTCTCTTACGTGCGCTGACTAACGTTACTACCAGTTGACGCCATCAACTGCCAAGAAATACTGAGTACGGTGATATCTTTAAGGCTTGTTGTAGATGCAGAATAAATCTATCACTGTAGGTTCTCATTCATTGTTCAGCTAAACACAAAAAAAGTATAGTAAAAGTATAATAAATAAATATAAAGAAAGTATAAAAAAGACAGTATAAATGTATGACCTCATATAGAGCTCAATGCGTAGGGTGTGACGTTGCTTATGTGGACACCATATGTCTACCAACCGTCAGCGCTCACACCCAAATTAGTGCGCCCAAACCGCAATATTTTATACGTTGGCTGCATGGACGCCTATAATCAAGTGAATTCGGGTAGGTTCCTGCACACCTGGTTGACCGTCTTGCTTGCAGTTTATGGAACTGAAATATGAGGCGACCTGTGTGCATACAGCGAACTGAGCTGAAGAATAACATAAACGAGAGATTCGTTTGGGTCTCTCGTGAAAATCAAATTGATTTGCAAAGGAATGTATTTCTCGAAATCTGTTGGTCTGCTAGAAAACATGTAGCCGCCCTAAGATGGGATGAGCATTGACGCTTGTCAGGATGCGTCCAGACACGAAAAGTACATGTGCAAAAGGTCACCATCGGTGCCACAGGTCCTGGAAAGCAGATGTGTGGGCGTTGCCTGTCAAACATGACTTATAAGCATGCGACCAGCGGAGCTAGTTTTGAAGAGGTTCACGACAGAGACGTCACCATTGGCTGAACATGAACGAACATAGCGAGTGACCACACTTGGCCCTTCAGCCACCCTATATTATTTCACGAACCAGCAATAAAACAGCGCTCAACTCACTTCCGTTGTGATTACGCAGTGATCCCGAAAGTAATCGAGAAAGACTTATGGAGACCTTTCTAATCCACACCAGAATTCTTGTGGGCCTTGCCAACTGTGTGCCGAAAAGGATACTTCCCGACATACGTTCAGTTTGCTGCAAAGGGCCACCGTGGGTGGCGCACACCAATACACCATGAAACAAATTGCCAAAAAGTATTCACGCTCAGGTTCACCCACCTTCACACTCACCGAATAATGTGCGATGCGGTAGGGTGACTGTCTAGCTGAAGGCTTATCGCATCTGAACCACACACATCATTTGTGATCCCAATTCAATGAAGAGAAGAATGGATCTATCATTGCTCTTTGTTGAATGGAATGCAGTCTGTCTGGTTCATTCGGATGGTATCCAACGTGATAACTGCAAAACGAAGCAGTTCCATTTTTCTTGCTCTCTTTGTTTTCTCCATCTCCACTGAGTTTGTGGAAGGAATTTCCTTGAATGCAGCGATGGGGAAGTGGTTAATTTTGGATAACTTCGTTTCAACCGACAAAAACCATGTGATTCGTCTGATTCTGTCTAGTGTGGTGGACTATCTTCGTGTCCCACCTGAATGCTGTTGGATATTTGTTAGTAAACGGGATGGAACAACTGAAAGACATCAAAGTTAATGTTGATGTCTTCAAATTTTGGGAAGAACAGAATATCTGAGCCCAGTTTAGGTTGTGCGATCGCACTTTGAGAAAGCCGCGTAATTGACTGCGTCAGAGCGTGCTTGACACCGAAATTCTGCACATAGATCACCAGACTATTTTCGCTTCAGCTTGGCAGTGGTTGATGCTCTCATCTGCTTGAGTTGCGGTGCATACTACTGATGAAGCATGCGATTTTTCGTTGGTCGAGTGTCCAAGCTCCGCCGACGCATCTAACGAAAGTTGAAGATTACTACGGAGATAACGGAACCGCCTAATAATGTTTTTCCACTGTTGTTTGGTGATCAGTGAACGTTCAGGGAAGTTCAAGAAGGCGCTTGAGAATATTCAGTGCTTGGAAATTCTGAGCATTTGAGATCTTTGCTTTTGTATCTACTGGCTCTTAACTGCCCAGTTCGTGTTTATTAAATAACTTCCCAGTGAAAGGCTTTCTTCCGCCCACTTTTAAATGCCAAGTATGACGTCAAATCGTCTTTACCTATTTAATGCAGAATCCTGTTCATTGGATTTTGACGTACCAGGGGGTTTCACTTTCCTTGGTGTATAGTTTTTGTGAATGGCCATTTTCAACCAGCGTCTTGAAAATATCCTCGAGATCTTGGGGCAGAGTTGATCGTCCTGCAAGATTTAGCTGGTACAAATATCCTTTCCAGTCTCATGTGTCCAAAGGCACGTCGTATCAGAAATTGCGAACCATCTATCTCTGAGGGATATGGTTTTTCCATCAAACCTTTTATATAAACCCTTACCGGAATGTGCATATTTAACGCAAAATATAAACTTGAAGATAGTACAGATGTTCGAGTTGGGATCTTCGCCATTCGCTGTAGTCACACGAAAGTGGTGTTCACTCACGAAAATCATCTGACTCTCTCGCTTGTGCCATTCTTCAATTAAATGTCCTTCACAAAGGCCGTCTCCTGTTTAATCCGAAGTGCCGTCTTATGTTTCAGTGCTATTCACAAATTAGATTAGATTAGATTAGATTAGATTAGATTAGATTAGATTAGATTAGATTAGATTAGATTGATTTGAGTGTGTAGACTTAGAATCTCTATTCAAGCATTGCACAGACAGATGAGGGAAATATGGCATGTAGGACTTAAACAATGATTAGAGGAGGTGAACACCAAAGTCTGTTTGTCGAAAGACACTAGACAGCTATCATGGTACACTGAAAAATGGGTGGGCAGTGAAATTGAACGAGAAGTCTCTTTCATCATTTCAGTGTATTAATCAAAACTGATCGTGACCTATTGCCTTTCTGGCAATGATATATGACTGGTCTGTTGACTGAACCAATAAATTTACCGGCTTTACGAGCCTCATCGATATGGGATAAGAAGATAAAGTGAATGAACCTTTGAGATAATCTTTAGTTCGTCCATGTCGACCTTCGTCTCGGAAGGCCACAATTTCAGCACGTGCCATCACTGCTCCAAATGAACCAATCAGTGACGAGCGTTCATTGCCATGTTCGTGATTAGCTGAGAGCGACCATAATAGCGAAATTGCTCCGTACATCCTGTAGGTCTTGGTTCTCTGAGAGAATGATGAAATGGACAGGTGTATTATTTGAGTTTACGCTCCTCCTTGCTTCCATTCCGGTCTTCAGCAGTAAGAAGCCTAGTTCTCCCAATGAATGACTATATCGTTCTGCACTCTAGATCAATGTGTATACAATTATGGAACCCGGCATACAACATTAGACCTCAGAACTTACGCAGCTGAACTACTCACAGGATGCACGTTCATTTTCTCTAACCAGAATGCGAGGCAATGCACCATTAGGTTTCGGGACTTCGAAGTGAGTTCATTATCATTTTTACATGATTGTGATATCTCAATCGAATAGCGTCTGCACCATAGTACCTAGAAACAGGTCCATCCTACTAGGACCAGTGCTGTTTGAACACGTGCTCGATCAGGAGTCTTTAGTTGTGGAATCCGGGTTTGTGCAATGTTTCCCATTTTTCGAGATACCTCTTGTTACTTTTCAACATTTTTTTACAAGGCGAATCAGAGGTGATATGATAAGTGCAGAAAACGAAGGTGCACATCAGTATATCTAGAAATTTTCCAAAGATGCCTACATCAGTCGATTGATATAAATTTCATCCCCAGACAGACATCGCCACTAACAGGATTTAACTGGAAACTAACTGAAACAATTTCCATACGTAAAAACGTCGTTTATGCAAAGAAACTGCCAGGACATGCTTTCTTTGCGAAGTTAGCAGAATAAGATTCATAAAGTGCGTACTGACGGTTGGTCACATGTCTTTAGTGAGAGCCTCTGTTGACAGACATTCACAGCTAATACTTCGCTTTGTAGTTTTGATTCGTGGTGAAGAAACAAGCAGTCTGCTTGTTTCTCTCGAGGGTTGCACAGGAGAAGTTTAATGGTGGTTACCTAATGCGATCAGGACTGTGCAACGCAGCTCCGCAACGGAACAGGCATTTATTTACACATACGCACACTTTCTAGCTCCCATACACGGTTCTTTAAGCATCACCTGGATTCGAGGCTGTGGGGCAATCCATAATCTCCTGCCGGCTGCTCAAACTCCCCTGATGGACCTTGTTGTTACGGTCAAGTGAAGAAGTGACCAACTGCACTCACAGGGCTACAGAATTCGACATTGGAAGTGATCATTGATAAGCAAACTGATAGAGATCATCAGTGGTCATCATCAGTGATCATTCCTACACTTAACAGCAATCACTCGAGCAGCTTCAAAGGCTCAGATGTGCAAGCGATTCATCGGTGTTTCGACGACATTCCATTAGGTATAGGAGCAATCATTGCCATTCTTTCACAATCAGCCATCGGTTCAGAAGCCATGCATTGAACGAACAGGGTAGTTACTGGTCCCATGAGAATGTCAACACAGGTGTTGAACAAGACAGTGGTGGCACAAGAGTTTCTTGCACACAGCGCCACTTGCAATGTTGGCGGTATGACTCAGCCCTTTGAAGCAGGCTTGTCCAGCTATGCCGATGAATTCGCTGTTTAGTTTACCCATGTCACTATCCGGCAAGTTTCTGTGACTGCTGTCCTGTAGCCGTTTCAAGTCACCCACGGAATTTTGTGACGTTTGTGAGCATAAGCCGTCAAGGTGGTTGGTCTGTTTATTAACCGCCTAACCTCATTCTGCCTTTCCTTCTGATAGGCGTTTTTTACTTGCTTGAGAAACGGTGACGAAAATCTATTATCCCCCTCTTTACAGAAGTATACAGCTGAAAGCAGAAATTAAAATAATCGACAGTGTTTGCGATGCGTCGAAGGATTAGCGTCAAGGGGAAAAGCACACAGACTGGTGAACACAGGGACATCCCTGGTTGCGAACAGTTCCCACGTTTGTGAGGATTTCCCCAATAAGAAGACGTAGTTTATCTTTGATGATGACGACCGAATGGCAACGATCTGATGAATCAAGGGGAGTTACATCTGTTTACTACAAGCATCCCTATATTACTGACAAACATCATCCCACTGGACTTCAAGTCCAGTTGTGAACCGAAGATGAAATTAAAAGGAGACAAGCGAACCGGCTGATCTCACTGGTTGGTGTACAAAGAGACCGGTCCAACCAAGGAATTAGGGCAGTGGAGGAAGAGTTAACGAATGAAAATTAGTCAGAAGCAATCATGCTGGATGGAATACAGAGGCTTGTGAGCGAAAGTGGCTGATAACAACTCAGAAACTGAGGTTTGTATTAAACAATATTGTAGTAGTTAGTTAGGTAGGTAGACGGTATATTTTGTTTTATACAGGACATATGGGAAACCACATCGCTTGCGTCTCACTATGTTGCCACGACACTGGGAGGGTCAGTCGGATATGTTCTAGCCATCAATTTGGATGATATCACTGTCGACAGCGGCCAGCTTTATTGTACCATCAGGAAACCAATGTAGGTGATGTTCGATTCGATCAATGAGTTCGGTCATGTCGTTCACTCCTTCAAAACAGCGAACGGAAATTAGTGAGAATCGCTGATGGTATTTGAAGCCCATCGATTTTTTCCTCAACAGTAACACTTGTATAAGGCACTCTTCCGCATCCACTCAGAAACGCTTGTTTGTTACAGGATAGAGTATAATCCACTGTAACTGATTAGAATGAAACTCCACAGTGGGAAGCATGTATGCCACTGAATGACTGTAGACAGCCGGTAGCTGCAATTTTTTACCACCGTCAGAATGAAAACGCGGCCCAATAATGCATTAAGTGAACCTGCCCCATAACCGACTGCACTCTTGCCCATGTACGGGGACTTGCAGTTTCAAAGAACTAATATAGTGGGGCGCTACTCTGGCGAAAACAAACTTTACTACTCATACCATATCGTCCTGCTAACCCATGCAGGGCACAGTTCGAATTTGGCCTTAGGGACTATCATAGTTGCTGTGTGGCTGATCGAAACGATGTAGTGAGCCTGTGGGGTAGTTTCATATGACGGTTATCGAGTGACCAACACAAATAGTGCAAGATACGGAGAAGTTGAGCTTGCCAAAACAAACGATGGTAAAATAGAATATCAGGAATATCGATTCATTTTGAATACCAGTGGCCATGCGCAACACATTACGCTTCATAAATACGGTTCATAGTTTGTGAAAACTAAAAGCTAACTTTATATCTGCGAATTACATGCTGTGAATAACTCACGAGAAATGATTCTGTCTATCTGTTGCATCTTTGGTTTTGGTGTCTTGGATGAAAAGATACTGGTTTTCAACACACGGCTGTGACATGATTGTTGTACAAGTCAACATTTCCCGCATTTTCGATTACCCATTCCTTCGCACATTGACAGGAATGCTTTTAGTACGGATTTATTGTGAAAGCCGCCTGCAGTCTATACGAAAGTCTTGTAGGCAGCTGCCATCTACACCAAACATTGTATGTCATTCAAGGTCAAGATAATGGATTAGCCCACTTTCTGGGACTGATGGCGCTGCTAAGGAATGCATAAAATCATCATGCCAGATTAGGTTTCGTCCAATAAGTTTCGTCGGGTAGATTAGCCTTTTTCTAACAATTTTGAAAACGTACCAAAAAATTGCAGATACTGGTACAAATTTCGCTTACGAGCTGCTTTCAAACAAAACAGCTATAAACGATTGGCAACCTGAAGATTTTTTTGATGTGTGTCGGTAAAACATAAGATTCTCGGTCTAATGACACAACATTCGTTTGTGATAACATCAATCTACTGCTGAGATAGATTGTGATCGGAACTGACCATAGTTAGAATAAGTTGTATGATGAATTTTGCCAAGGTAGTGATGTTAAAATTTCGCAGCAAATACAAAAACTTTCGCTTACTTCGGATAGTAGATTTTTTTCTCCAAGTAAAGTCCAGATGTGCTGAGAAACTGAGAGACGCTTTAAAGCTGTTTTGTCCCAAATTGGGAATCATCAGCAGTGCACGTCTCACGAACTTCCACGGAGGTAGGACTCTGCACCCTCCTGACTAGTAGCTGAAGGCCTAATCAGGGGCCACGAGTTGCTAATCCGCAGCATGATAGATCTAACTCAGACGAGATGAAGCACCAGTCATCCTTCAATAACGGCATCCAACTGGCTTGACCGACTTTTCATAGGTTGTCTGATAATTTCACTTGAGAACTCATCACTCGAGTAGCGAGTTCTATTACTATCTTGGGTTCAGTTGGAACATAAGGTTGACGGAAACTTGGGGTTTGCGCCTAGCCGATGAGCCTTAAAAGGTACAAAACCGGTCGTGAGCTGACGAAGTGTTTTCGGCAACCTCACATGTAGCGTGTTACATCTAGATAACAAAGGTGGTTCTATTTCTGTTGTCTTTTGCGCAGCCTATTGCCGTAACCGCAGCCTTTGTTGGAATCGCGTCCTTGGTAGTTATTTTCAACGCTCTAGGAATCGCACCAACCATACTGTCACCTCAAGTGTTCAACTTCGAAAACAGACAACCTTTACTTGAGTCCAGACTCCCGC